TAGACAAAAAGATAATATAATTTTTTTTAAATTTTTTTTTATTGACGATTTTAAATTTATCATGAATACTCTTATGGTTTTATTTTTTGGGTTTATGACAAAAAGATATTTCAAATACTAATATGACATAGAAAAGATAAAAAGCTCCACCGCGTGGACCACTTTTCATTTCATTCAGATGATCCTACGAGTTGGACGAATTTCCTTTTTGAATTGAGACTATTGGCATACTCAATTGTAGTCCCAAAGTGAGCCTCAGAGTGGCATAGTAATGGGGCGGCCACGGTGACATAAAATGGTGAAACTAGGGTATCAAAGATATAAGAGAAGTGCTTACAAGTTGCAACCAAACTCTTTCGCGGATGGTCTTTAACTTTTCAAGTTTGTAACTAATAAACTTATTTACAAGATTTTTAACTTTTATTAAAAAGATGATTATATACTTAAGCCCCTCCATGTTAGTACTATATCCCAACACCTATCATTCAAATCTTGAAGGCATATTGTAAGGTAGGATCGTAGGAGAACACTCGAGGAAGAGAGTCCCGTCAAGGCGGTGAGTGGATTTGGTTTGAGGGAGCGGGTTACATGGGGATTTGCATACAAATATAAGGGTTTGTAGGAGGAGCAGACATGCATGCTTTTTAAACGAAATTTTTTCATTTAAAAAATCAACTCGTTACACATTTAAAAGTTCGGGAGGACTCTCACAACATATAGTAACTTGGGCACTGACTTGTTATATTGCCAAAACATTGGAGACTTCCATATAAATAAATTTATACGCTCTCTAACTTTGCATTTATTGACGAGTTAATTCAGTAAGATATATTTGAATATTGTATACACACATTACACACAAGGGCTGAAGATTTGGTGACCGCCCAATAGATGGATTTGACATTTATTATTTAAATTTATTCTTAGGACAACAAATAGAAAATGTTAAAATGTTGGACGGCGCTGCAAGTACAGGGGTCGGTTTTTACATACTCCTGTTAGGCAACACACATGCGCGAGCTCCAGTGTAATTTTTTTTTTCATGTGGGGCCGCCCCTACCATGGCATTTTCCTAAAATGTTACGTAGTTTAAAGAGTACATTTATAGTGCACTTCTATCTGTACTGTCTTCTACTTTTTTTTTTTTTTTTTTGGTTGAAATGAATACCATTCTTTCGATGACATGGGATTTACCTACGGAATATTCAGTTAATTTTAAAATATTATCCTATTGGATTGAATTGATTACATTCATAAATAAATAACGATGAGATTGGAATTCAGAATTACATAAAAATACGTATTAAGAAGATTCACATTAAGAGAGGAGAGTAAAAAAAAATTTACGTTATGCTTAAGTAGTTCTCAATTTATGATTAAAAAATGTTTTCAATAGGTTGATCGATCCAACCCTACCAACCATCCAAGTCATAGAAATTTTTTTTTGCCAAATTTATTCAAATTGTAGTACTTTGTTATCATAATATATTTGATTTAAATTTAAATTTCTATATTTGTAAAATCAATAGACGATTTGTTGTTTGACATGCACAAATAAGTGATTTCTTTATCGTAGTAAATCACTTACCGAACCTACCCGAAAATGTAAGAAAATTGGATAGAAACTTGGACAAAATTCCTATTAAGAACTAGAATGTGAAAGATCCAGACACGAGTTGAACTTTTTGTCCTTAAAAACAAATTTGCCCCCTATTGGTGCCTATAAATTATAGCAATCGTCTCTCAAGATACAACGACCAACTTCTTATGTTTGCAGCACTTCAAAATACTAGGAATGACGAATCGAATGAAATTTTGTACTCCTTTTAAAATGAAAAAGAAACAAGATTTTGATGCAGAATTTTGGCAAGAAAATGACGTTATATGATATGCTTTGATTGCAGTGAATAGGAGTGAATGAAACCAATACATAGGAGTTCAATTTATAGTGGGTTGCAGTCGGAGAGACACAATCCAAAAATCAACTTGTTTCATGAAAGGTTGTACTTTTCGATTGCCGTTCACTAGCACTAGCTTCCCCGCTCGAGCTCCCATTTCAGAGACTTTGTTGTTTGCCTGGCACTAGGCTACTGTTCAAGGGACGATCTTATATATATAAATCAGAATTTTTTATTTTGTTATTATTTTTTTTCAAAAATCATTTTCTCCAATCACACTTCATTCACTAATTTCTCGTATGTTTTAAATAGATTTCAACATCCAAATATACAAAAACATCTACTCTATGAGTAGAACATGATCGACCCATTTTTTACCAAATTCAAGCAGCGAGATCCATCCAAATATTCGGTAAAAGTTTGATAAATATCAATTTTATAAACTATATTCCAACAATTCCACACATGAATGAAATTTATAAATATGCACATAAAATGCAGACTCTAACAAAAAAGAGTATAGACGACAAGCTAGAGCAATAGGAGAGGTGGCTTTGGGCTTTAAACCTTCCTTAATATAATACAATCGAATTTATTAGACTAATTAGTGAACATGATGTCATGAACTATTCAGTTGTTGGTGTAAATAAAAAAAATTGTACCAACACCATAACTTCTCTAACATCTTGGTTATTATGGTTGTGTTCATTTTGGTCCTCAACAACTCTTAGTTTCATAAGTGCTTTTAAAAAAAAAAATTAAAACATTTTTGGAGAATGTGTGGTCAAAATTTTGGAAAAAAAATTGAGTTTACGTGCAAAATATTTTATTTTCAAAACATATTGTTGAAAATGAGTTTGGAAAAAGAAAAGTTTTAGATAATGTCGATCGAACTCGGACATTTTTCCAAAATAATTAGCATGTGAGTAGCACGAACATTGTGTCGAGAAAAAAAAACAATGAAAAGCATAATTATTTTTTTGTTAAACAATAGGAATATGATGGAAAAATACATTCCTTTTTGCTGGAATTGAAAATTTTCCAGACATTGAACAATAATCTTAAATGTCATTATCCTTAGAAATTTACAAGTGGGACATTTTAGTGCCCTAAGAAACATTTAGGGGGATGTATTTTCCCTTTCTCCTAAAAGTTCTCATGGTCCCTTTGGCTTCCTACTAACCCTTCTTGACCATTCAACGATTTCTTCCAAATCTTAGAGCCTATTTGGTACTGATTATGTGAATTGATTTTTTTATTGTTAGTTTGAAAGGTGAGTCCTATCTGTGAATGAAGTGGTAAAAATAACGACTGACTATGTTAAATAACAATCAAAAAATTGATTTTTCGACTTAAATAATCAAAACCAAACAGAGGCTTAATACCAAAGCAAATATAAGCATAATTATTTTTCTCATAATTTTACCTAGAATAAGATAAGGAAAAACCATAAAGAAAATAATACCCGATTCTCGGTTTCATTCTTACTCTTATGAATTGAATGGAACAAAACACTCATATAAGAATAACGCAATTTTAAATTTAACTTCTTAATAGTAATTTCATCCATCCTAGTAATCTTCACTAAAAAAATAATATAAATTTATCACAGAAAATACAAATGAAAAATAGAAAAAATATAGTTCTTGAAGGTTTATATAACGATTTTACTAGTTCGAGGAGACCTATGTTTCGATAAACAAGAGCCACGAAATAACGATTAATCTAAAATTTAATTAATTAAAATTCCAATTAAAAGAACACCAAAAAGGATATGCCAATTTTGGCAGCTAGCAAGGGAATTTTGATGAAAAGAATAGATGGGACATGCTTGCACATGGGTTCGTCGTATATGGTGAATACAAAATCATAAATTAAAATTTTTTGTAGTATATTGAGAAAAATAAAGCATCTTATTTATATGTAGGGTCAAGCCAACTAACTCTGTAGGACAAAATGGATTTTATTTAAAAAAAAAAAAAAAAAAAGGAAGGAAGAAGCTCTAGCTTTGCATGTGGAGGGTCTGGATTAATTAAATGCATTCTACTTTCAAAATTCATGGCATGAAAAAGCATACCATTAGGAATGTTGTTGTCCTCCCCAACCTTGTGATATAACCCTTTAATACGAAAAAAAAAAAAAAAAATTAATGCAGTGTCCACCCTCCTCGTATGGAGTTGGGCTCACTTCAGATAAATTATATTTTATTCGAAGTAGATTCCCGTCCATGTGGAGGATAGACATCGTTATAGGCATCCTGATGTACGTGTAGCATAGCCTAACAAAAATAAGTGGAATAGTTAAGTTCAACGAAATTATCAAGTATCGATCATTAAAATATTTGAATGTGGCATTCATCATTGGCATTTCATTAATCATATATTTGAGAGCTACCACACTTCTTTCTTTTCTTCATCTCTTCTCGTCCTAAGAACAAGTGAAGAGAGGATTACTTTAATTAGATCCACTGCACCTTAGTTAAAACATGAGGGAGATATGTGGCTAAGAATATCAATCTAATTTGCTTATCAAGTGCAACGAAGTTGACTCTTCAAGAGTGTATCTCATTGATGGCTCGAGCCTCCCAAAAGGACGCCATCTCTGTCTTTAAATAAATTTGTTAAAAGAAAAGACACAGATACAATGGATGGCTCAAGCCTCCCAAATGGAAGCCCTCTTCGCCTTCTAATAAATTCTCTTCCCCTTCTAATAAATTTATTGAAAGAAAAGACATAGATAATTTAACCCCTGTTTATTTTCCATTATTTGGCCATTAAAATAAAAAAATATGACCGTTATCCATCGTATCAAGTCACCATATTTGAATTTCTAACTCTTGTGTGAGGCCCGTAATGACTATATTTTTCATTCTCATTCTTACATTAATGGAAACAAACGAGACCTTAATATTACAACAACATCTATGGTAGTCGATGAAATGAAGTGAAAAAAAAAATGTTTTTTGTATCGAATTATATCCCATATCTTAATTTTAAACTATAAACCTCCGCCTCCCCGCCCCAACCACGTTGGTTGTAATTATTACCAAAATTATGGGCATTTTCTTACTCCCACTCTATATAACACTCTTCGATCCCTCAGTTAACCTCCTCATTCTTTCATTCAACACAAAAACTGAACAAATTCAAACAAAAAGACATGTCTGCCTGCAGCAAAATCCGCCACATTGTTCGGCTCCGCCAGATGCTAAAACGGTGGCGCTTGAAGGCCGCCGCCGCCTCACGCAGCGCACCCTCAGACGTCCCGGCCGGACACGTAGCTGTCGCCGTCGGCACCACCTGCAAAAGATTCGTCGTTCGAACTGCATACCTAAACCACCCAGTTTTCAAGAAACTGTTGATCCAGGCCGAGGAGGAATATGGATTCACCAATTCGGGCCCACTGACCATTCCTTGCGATGAATCACTCTTTGAAGAGATCCTTAGATACTTGGCCCGCAAGGAATCGAATCAAAATAATTCGGCCCGATTCATGAGCTTTGAGGATTTCCAACGATACTGCCACGTCGGAATCAGAAGCAACATTGAGTTCTGGGCCGAGTCACGGCCGCTTTTATATTCTGACAAGTCTATATGCTAAATAGACTTCAACAAATTGCTCGGATTTTGACTCGGGTTCACTCGTTCGATTTAGCTCACTTGCACAGCCTACATTAACAAATTCTGACGTTCCCAACATGAAATTGAGATAATTTTTCGTATTTTCGTCGTTTTTTCTTGCTTTTCTCATGAGAGGAGCAGTACGGAGTTGCTGAGCTGAATCGATCCTGCCCCGGAGATGGCAAGTAGGTGAGCGAGTTGCCACCGAGTCGTCCCGGGTTCACTCGGAGTCGAGTCTGAAGGAGAAGAAAGAGTGGAGACACGATACACACGATTTTAATTGATTCAGTAAAACGCGACTTGTAAAGGAACTGAACCACGTTTCTGCATTATTCTATTTATCATGGTACATAATTCTTTTTGAAATAATTGAAATATATTATTGTTCAAAAACAATGGTTATTGATTGGTCTAACGTGCAAGCCTTTGCCAGTTATTTGCTCTGTTTATAGTTTTTATTTTCTTGGAATTATTTGGTTCATTTTGTTGCAGCTATTTCTTCAATTTTAAGAGAATTTTTGTAGGCATAAATTTTACAGTTCTCGACAATATTGAGTTAAAAATAAAATTACATGATTGACAAATTTTGCTTTTTAACCTTGGGATTCGACACACAGGCTACTTTTCTCTAAGGGTCCATTTGATTGTAAGAATGAAATTTGGGTGGAAAAAAGGAATTTTAGAGAATTGAATTAATTAAAATTTGTTTTTATTGAGAATTGTCAATTAAATGTGATTAGTATAATTTTCTACCTGAAAAATATTGAAATTTTAGATCTTTTAATATTCGTTTGGCTTAATTTTTCAAGAAAATTTTCAATTAAAATGATAACATTTGTTACAATTTGGAATAGAATTTGTTTCAATTGCAAAAAATAAAAAAAATCTAGAAAATGAAAAACCACCTAAGGGAAACATTTTCCTTAAAAAGGTGAAAAATGGGTTGTACAAAGAAAACCAATTCCAGGAAAATTTTTTGACGTCAAATAGCATTTTTGGTTGGAAATAAAAAAATATTTTCTATTTTTCATGGAAAACCAAACCTATCAAACAGGACCTAATATTTGATGAAGGGGGGAGAAAAATATTTTCTACTGAACTGGTACATAGGAAAAAAGAAAAAGAAAAAATTTGCAAATCAGAATATCTCGATCAATTTAATTTGTTTTAACGATCCATTTAATTAATGCAAAAGGAATGTGTTTTAATGATGGGAATAAGTTATTTGTACAATGGATTTGTACAACATGCTTAATAATGGTGTAGGTGTCAAAAAAGTATTGATAAGAAAAATAAAGTATTTTTCAAACTGTCCAATTATAACCTGCCACGTAACATGTTATCAAACTTGTTGTAAAAGTCATTGTACAATAAGTGTGATTCTTTAATGATGAGTTGGATGAAAAATGATTCTAGGGACAATCATTAAAGTTGCAATGACATTAAGAACCATGCTGGCCCTAACAGGCCGCACACTTGCAAGAGAGTGGATGATTTTTTTTTTTTTTTTTTTTTAAATAATCACCACTCCCAACCCACCCCACGCCACCTCACCCCACCCACTTCAAATGTGTTTGGGAAATAGGGTCTGTACAGTCGACATTTTCCATGACATTAATTCGTAGGGATGGCAATGGCTTCGTCTCATCCGGTTTGCTGCCCTGTTTATTATTATTATTATTTTTTTACATTTTCAAAATTCAAAAATAGAAAAGATACACCATCATTGCTTTTGCATTTGATTTCCTTCTGAGTATAATGGGTTAAATACTCGTACTAATTACAGAACATTAGAAACAGTTGCATCAGTTTCAAAAATAAAATTATTTTTAATTTTTTTCTCTTCACAGGGCGAGGAGAATTATTCCCCGCCCCGTCTTGCCACGCCAATCCGTCGAAGCAGATTTTTGTTTTCCCATTCAGGCGAGGTGAATTTTTTTGCCATCAATATTAATTCTATGCATGCCAAAAAATAAGAAATCATAGATGAAGCAATTAAGGAAATTAAAGTTGACTTGACCATGTAAGAATATTTCCCACATGTTTTTGGAACAAATTATTAGTGCTTGATTTAATAATGCTTATTAGATTTATTAAGGGTCTATTTAGCATGGTTTTTGAAAAGTAAAATGAGCTTTTAATACTCAAAAATATATTTTTGGACCTATTTGACTAATTTTATGGAAGTGTTACTTCAACTTAAAAAAAAAAAAAAATTCAGAGGAAGTTGATCTAATATGATTTTATCTTAAAAATACTTCTAGAATGGAAGCTTTTTTAAAAATTAATTTTCAAATAAAAATTAAGATAATTATTTCCAAAAACTCTTCTACAAAAGGCAAATGCAAAAAACAAAAATAAAAGTAAAAGTAAAAGTAAAAGCAATAGTCATGCCAAATAGATCCTAAATTACTTCTTTAAAGCTTTTTGACATAAAAAATACTATGTCTTCAACGAAATCTATTTCTGATCATGCCATTATTTTCTACCTAGACCTAACCTAAACGCGTCAAGTTTGAGGATTGTTTTTGCCTTCTTGTGCCAAGAACTTTATGACAAGAAGTACGACATTCTCACCTTTACCTTAATATCCTGAGGTTGGGGTTCCTTTCTTCTCACTATGGTACATTATTGACCTATGGATTGAATCAAGATGTTCCTTCTTACCAACCTTCCTAGCTCGAGGAGAACATTATGCCTCTTCCCAAGTTCGGTACCCAACTACCTAACCATCTATGAGCTCCTAACATGTACACAAGGAAGACGAATCCAATATTGATCACGCCCTTAGCTTTTCTAGAGCTGTTGATCACCTACCAAAACTCCAACCTAACCACAATCAATGGTGATAAGTGTATTTTCTACACTTATTCGATGCCTTAAATAATGACATTTTATCATAATTATTAGACTCGACCTAACAAAGTATTGGGTCTCAGGTTAGTGGTCAAACCGACGGGTTGATGGTTGAACCGGTATGCCATTGCATAGAAATCTACAAAAAAATATAAAGTAAATTTTATTTTTTCTAGGTAAAATTAAAGTTTTAAAATTATTTTTCACTAATTATTTAGGTCTATAAAAAAATGTAAAAGGTTGGACCAAAGTTTTTTGAGAAGATATTTTTTGAAAACCTATAAATGATTCATTAGATGGATATAAATTATTGCACGAAAATAATAACAAAGTACTTGTGTTCCAATTAGGGGTCCATGGTTCAATTCCCTTGAATCCAAATATTTTGAATGAGAATTTTAAAACCCAATCAAATAGGTCAATTGGGCCGGTTAAACCATCAGTTAATTCTATCAAAACTCAATTTTGATCGAGACAAATACATTTTTATCAAATTAATTTCCTAACCTGATCAAGGGTAAGGGTCATCAATTTTTCGATCCGATCGGGTGGGCCAGGCTGGGTTTCGTAACTATGCATTTTATAGTTTTTTTGATGAATTTATTACCTCATTTGTTATGTATTGTATTTAATAGATAAAACTCACGATTTGATGAAAAATTGCAAAAAAAAGCTAAAAATATAGAAGAATGGATTAAAACTATAGGGATTAAATTGTAACCTTCCAATATCCGCGCTAGGACATAAAATGAAGATTGAAGATGCTATAAACTCAATTGAAGGCAATTGGAAGCTAAATGGATGAAATCACAAGTGAAAATGATCAAAAATGCATTACGAAAAGTTCAAGGACCAATTTTGCATACAAAATGTGAAGCTATGCATACACATTGGTGAGATCCCTTAAGTTAAAATCATTCTACCATATGTATGCACAAAATATACCATGCATGTGTGCTTACACATGGCTTTCCAACTAGGATTCCTATTTTGACTCTTTATGGTATGATATTCTACACATTTTTAACCTACGAAGAGTCGTCCAAAATGTATTTTGAAGCTATTAATATATTCCATCAATGAAGCGACTCCTAACACGAGCTTTAGAGAGAATTAACACAAAGAATTGAAGATTCAAGGCGCGAATTGATGGAAAAGTGCAAGAAATTGATTTCTCAAGCTTCTACATCTATTCTTTGAATTGAGTGATGTCGTTTCTTATCTTCTTCTATAATTTAGACACAATTATGTTAGGCTAAACTTCTCTTGTGCAATGGATGGATGATGAAACCTTTTAACTTATATTTCTAATTTAAGATTTATCGTGTTTTAATTATTTCTTGTGTTTGTGATTAAGCATGCATGAATATTGTGTTATTTGATACTTAGATACCAATTATATAACTTGTTGTTCATTTGCAGTGTTGGAAAATCCACAATAAATAGAACATTGCATATTTAACATAGGGCACTAGGTAGTAGGAATAATATTTAGAGCCTGCGCAATCGTGTGTGATAATCATGTAATTGAATGCTTGCTTCGCATATGAATTCTGACTATGAATAGGGTGGGTCATGCGAAGGATAGGTTTAATATATCTTGGAAAAAAATTAGATGGTAATGGATTATCATTGTCATGAACACTTGAATAACAATAATTTACATAAGTCAAGAATTGGAAATGAAAACCAATAGGTGAATATTGAAATCCAATACATTTGTCTCATTATTGTATAAGAACAATCTTTTACAATATTCCTAGTTTGGTTTAGAATAATTACATACAACCAACTATTTTGCGTCACGTAGATCGAATTTGGTAGAAACTAGTACTCGAGAATTAATAGTCATTCATCATGGGATGATAACTCAACTCGTCACATTATTAAAGCTCCAACAATATCGATCCAAAAAAATCATATAATCCAATAAGCAAAGGGGAAGGACAGCCTTCACGTACATCTCCGGGCGCTTCCAACAAAACCTCGAGGTGTAAGGAGTTCATGCCTTTTAATGATTTTCGTGTCACAATTTTAATGGAAATCAAGGTCATAAAGGAGCACAAATAGCCTTTATCTATATAGTTGAACACTAACAAATCCCGAGTGAAACCTCAACTGTGAATCTCATAAAAGTCATGGCCATAATCACACGTTTACTACATCCTCAGGCAAGAGAACGAAGCCATCATCTAGAAGATTACTTGATCATTACATTAAAATCGGCCATCCCCTGGGCAAGCTGAGGAAAACACAAAGGCATCGTAGAAACCATCAACATGATTATCAGTAAAATCATCATGAGAGGTGACTCAATGAACGATTGAAAATAATATGCCCGGGCTTCCTTTGAATCGAACTTATTAGCTCAACCTCCTTCCAATGACATGGTCTCTCCTTCACAAGTAAAGATCTTAAAGGCCTAATAACATCTCACCATAATGCAGTGGTCTTTACAACCATTATTGTTATCTTCAAAGTTAAGAGGATTTTAGTGGACATCAAAAGTACAACAAACCCATTTCTTCTATGACTTTTTGTAAGATGAATCTTCTCAAGGATAGGTTACGACCCATAAAGAC